GGGTCTGCCCTCCGCCAAGCCCGTCTCACCTGCTCTTACCTGGAGGGCTGGAACTCCCTGCTTCCCGCCGGAGTACATGTGCCACCAAGCCCTGGCGCAGGCCTGGGGCTCACCAGCTGCTCTGTTGCCATGGCTGCCTGGCAGGCCTAGGAGGAGGAGGCTGGGATGGGGAGGGGGCCAGGAGGGGCCTCCAGGATGGGCAGCTCCCCTCCCCACAGTCGGCAGTGTGCAGCCGAAATGCAGGGGGTGGTTGATCTGGCCAATATCTAACTATAAATACATGAATAAATCAATAAAGTTCAGCTAGGCTATTACCTGGAACAGTCTTTGTAGGTGGCTGGTTGCCAAGATCCTAATTATAAGGAGACATTATGTGTTAGAGAAAAATGCAGTGGTATTTTCTTTTCTTTCGTACAAGTGAAGAAAACACACACGTGTGCGCACACCCCAAGGTTTTATTATGTCCCACGCAAGATTTCTATTCCATGGTGCCAGTGAGAGAAGGAAGATTCTATGACTGGTTTTAGAAGTAATCAGGAAAATAATTGCCTAGCTTCAACATTTACTAAGTTGAGGTGTTTTTAGTGCCTCCCTCTGCCACTCACCTTCAGGCCCTTGCCTGGGCCCCTGGCCGCATGCACCTCGGCTGAGGCTGTGCCACAGCCCCAGAGGGCTCCATCCTGTGTCAGTGAGGGGGCTTCTGGACCCCCTTCCATCAGGCTCAAGACCAGCCTGGCTTTGAGCTGCACCCCAGACTGAGGAGTGGGCTTCTGCCTGGAACTTGACTCCTACTCAGGTTCCTGTAGAGCTCTGCTGCCTGCCGGAGGGGTGCCCTTGGCATCATTGGCCAGGAGCCACGCCTTCCCAGGGCCCTCACACCGTGACTACAGGGACCCCGCCGTGCCTGATGCCATGCCCAGCCCTCTAAGCCTGTGCGCTCTCCCTGCCGCTGAGGCTGCCCTCTGCACGCCTCCTCCTCTGGCCTGTCATCAGGCTGCCCCCGTGCCCGCCCAGGCCTGTGGCAGCTATAGGTCGGCCAGATCTCATCGCCTCTCCATTCTGCAGAGGGTGTTGAGTACTGGGGTGAATAAGACACACCTCCTCCCCATCCTGAGGTCCCAGCCCCTGTGTGATCTTGTAGGGGGAGGTGCACACCTGAGAACACCTGTCTGTGGATACAGCGTCCCAGCTGCTCCATGGCACAGGGCCTGGGCTGGGGACTGCAATCCCCAGGGTCCAGGGCCACGTCTGCCTGATACTACTGGGAAGTCATCAGGGCTGGAACTTGTGGCTCCAGATCCTTCTGGCCACTGGAGACTGAGTCAATAGGCTGATCTGGTATCCTGGGGTTCCTGGACTCTGAGTAGCCCCTGGGAGCCTATCTGGGCCATGTGCTGAGGTCACGTGGGAGGCTGCTGCCTGGTGTCCAGGAGGGGCCTGCAACCCCAGACTCCCCACCAGTTCCCACTGCTCTTCATGGAGGGTGCACCCTGATGACCCCATCAAGGTGTCCAAAGGTCAGGTTGGGCCCCACATGTGACCACCAGTGAGCCAGCCCTGCGTAGCCACCCTTGGTGGGAGGAGGGGTCTGACAGGATGTCATGCCCCTAGGACGTAAGAGCATCACAAGAGGTGAGAAGACAGGGCTCTCCTGGGCAAGATGGGGTGCCCAAAGCTGGAGGGGCCTGGGTGGGGAGGGGCAGGGCAGTGGGGAGGGACATCTGAGGGTTCTTCTCCGGCTACAGGCCTGGGGAGGGCAGAGGCGGGACTCGGATGTGGGTGCCAAGCCTCCTGTGCTGACAAGTCAGGGGACAAGCAGTTCAGCTCATGGTAGATGCACCCATTGTGGATGAGGGGTCATGTCTGGGCCACACGGGGATCACTTCTCTGCAGGATGCAATGCAGACGCAAAAGGGTTTCATAGTGTTGCAGTTTTCAGGAGCCCCACCTGAGCTTCTGTTCAAGACGAATCATGTTTATTCATCACTGAACAACTCAGAGGGTCACGGGCCCTGGGTCTGAGGGGGCGAGGCAGGGCATCAGATGGTGTGCTGAGGATGTAGAGGTGGCCTGGCTTCCGCACATCAGGGGCACATCTGCTGAGAAGTGGTGAAGGTCCGATCTGGGCGGCAGGCATCTGGAAAGGAGCGAGGTGGGAATGGAAAAGGGGTGTCTGTGTGAAACGGATCTGGGGACCTGCTGACTTCCAGGGACCAGTGAGCAAGACCTCCCTGGGGCACAGCCCTGATGGTGAGGGGCCTGAAGCTGAGGCCCTGGGTGCACCATCCAGGGTGGGTCACCTGCATAAGGTCCCCCTCTGTGCTGTGGCTTTGCCCACCACGCTCTCAGGGTCCGGAGCACAAGTGAACACCAGGATTTCAGCCCACGCTGCGGCGGCTTAGCTCCACTCTCCTAGCTGCCTATTTGCAGGGCCAGCTGGGACCAAACAGGCACCTGGCCACTACCCGCCTGGCTCCATCTCTCCCACTCAGGGCAGAGCCCTGTGTGTGGTCCTGGTAGGTTGGCTAGGGGACGGCAGGGACCTAGACTGGGCACCCCCAGCCTGAGACAGCCAGCCCAGGGCTGCTCCTGGCAGCCATCCACAGCCACAGCTCTGGCTGCATGCCGAGGGCTGCTTGTTGGAAGGAGCCAGGCCCAGGTGGACATGGCGGAGTTTATAAGGCTGGTTGGTGGCCATGGTGCGAGCTGCGCTGGGAACACTGCATCTGAGGCTGTATTGGGTCACTGGGGCCGGTGCTGCTTCTGGTGGGGGACACACAGTGCAGTGGCCACTCCTGCCCCAGCGGGCAGCCCGAGCACCCTGAGGCTTATGTCTCCTGCTCAGCTACATCCCCTTGCCTTCTCCTTCACTGAGGCTGTGCTCCTGTAGGCAGGGAGGGCCCAGGGCAGTGCGGCACCAGCCATGGCCCTAGCTGCCTCTGCCCCCGGGAAGGGGTACAGTACATGCACACAAGTCCCTCGTGTGCGGGCGGCTGTGCTGCATGGCCTCTCTGGGAGTGAGGCTTATGGTCCCTCCAGGTGCTGTGACTGCCAGGGTGTCCCATTGCCAAAAGTGACCTGGGTGGTGAAGCCTGAGTAGGTGGTGACCTGCATCAGGTCTTCCCAAACCTGGGTGTGAATGCTGGTGTCCTTGGAAGAGGCCCTCCTTCACCTCTCCGTGACTCCGTTTCCCTGTGTGCCCTGTCTGCGAAGTGGGGGCACCAGCAGGTGAGCTCACACTCTGTGTGGGGGGCCTGAGCTGCCTTAGAAAGTCTCCCATGAACCCCTGAGTCCACGTGCACCCCAGGCCAGCCTCACGTGAGGGAGGCCCTTGTCTGCGGCAGGCCTGGGTGTGCTCAGCGGCCAGGCTCAGGGGTGGCGTGCAGCCAGAGCCCAGCGTCTGACAGGATGGGCGGGGCCTGGAAGCCTGGAGGTGGGGCCGGTCTGTCCGAGGCCTGGCTGACCCGTAGCCTTTGTCCCCTGATCTAGCTGTCTGACCTCCGGGTGCAACCTAAGCTTGGCCTCCCAGGAGGCTTTGGGAAGGTTGTGGAGATGCGGATCCCAGGAACAGGCCCAAGCCTGGGGCTGCCCTGCCCCCACCATCAGTGGCTGCATCTCCAGAGCCCAGACCCTAGGCCCTGCATTTGCCACCACCGTCCCGGCCCTGGATTTCTTTCCCGCAGAGTGGCCATGGCCCTGCGCTGTGTGTAAGCCCAGTAATTGAATTGATGGTACATGTTGGTTTAAAATCATGCTAATTGCTTCATTTCCCAGAACACTCTTCAAAAGAAAATGAGTTTCCCTGTAATATTTTGCTGTGGGTGAAGTGACCCTTGTGGAAATCACTCCAGGCTCTGGAATGAGCTGCACAGTGGGTGGGCACTGGGGCAGGGTTCCTACCCCCACCCAGCCTGTGTCACAGTGTGAAGGAGGCTTCCCTGGCCTGGACTCAACCCCGGCCGCACCAGGCACTGAGGGCGGGAGGTTCGGCTCTGCTCAGGTGCTGGGTGTGGAAGCCAGGCTCTGAGGTCGGTGGCTTTGCCCCCGGTTGCGTGGCTGGCCCTGAGGAGTTGTCTGTGGGCAGGGTAGCAGTCAGGAAAGGGGTGAGCTTGCGGTCAGGAGATGGCAGTCCCAGCTCTTCCCCTTTGTCAGAGGCCCCAGGGGCCCTGGACCTTCTTGAGCCCCACAGCACCTGCTGTCAGATGCGCGCCATGACCGACCCTCGGGTGCTGCCTGGTGTGAAGGTGGCGGTGTGGGACATGCCACCAGCCCAGCTCCGGGTGTGTGTTGTGTGAGAGGGGTGGCTGCTGGGTCTCAGTGTCACTGCTACTTTGCAGGACAAGTGGAATTAAGAAGACGCTGGGTAAGAGGCCAGTGTGATGTGCTGGGGTGAGGTCCCCCAAAGTCCTCCCGGTCCAAGTTTCTGCTTTTTACCCTGTTCATGAGCTTCATGAGGCTACTCAGTCTTTGGATGACGGAGGACTGCCTCTACCCCCCCCACCCCCGTCCCACTCCTTCAGGACCCGCTGAGCAGCTGGGTTGCGCCGGGTGCTGGGTGTGCAGAGGGGGACGTAGGCCCTGTCTGCCAGGAAGCCCCGGGACGTCGAGGAGCGGGGGTCTGAGCACTGAGGGCCTGTGTGAGGTGCAGACAGCGCTCTGCTCTGGACGCGCTCTTCCCGCCCCTGGTCGGGCCTGCAGGCCGGTGTTGGGGATGCTGCCTGCACTGGACTGCAAGCTTGTGCATGTCCTGCCTGCTTCCCAGGGGCCCGCCCAGGTCCTCTGTCCCCAGTGAGGCAGTCGCAGCCCTGGGATCCTTGGCAAGCTTGGAGTTTGGTTTTTGGAGTCAGGGGACAGTACTCACATCTGGCTGTGTCTCTGCCTCCTGGGGTGGCCTTGGGCCCGTCTGGTCTTGGCTGTCACAAAGCACCCGCTAAGGCTGGACCCTGCACCGCTGCTCCTGCAGCCCCAGGCACCCGACCACCACCATCTTGTTCCCACAGAGCGACTTGCTGGACGTGAACCAGATCATCCAGGACTTGGCCTCCATGGCGTCAGAACCAGGAGATGCCATTGGTGGGTACCTGCAGCACCCTCTGAGCCCCCTGCTCCTCGCCCTCTGCCCCTCCCTCCAGGTCCAGGCAGAGTTGCCTCCAGGGTAGGGGAGGCCCAGGGCAGGTCCTGGAGGTCTCAGCCTCCTGTGTCCCCCCCCGACCTGCCCGGCCACCAGCCCCTCAGGAAGGCTGGGGCGGGAGGCTCACGACCCACCCCTTCTGTTCACTGAGGAGTTCTGGCCTCCATGCCCCCACAGCGCAGGGACACCCTGTCCTGGGGTTTGAGGCTGCAGTCGGCACTCCGAGGAGACCCCTGGGGATCTGGAGCCGCCTCGAGTCTGGGCTCTGCCCTGGGCCGCTTCCAGAACTGGTGTGGGGTTGACCAGGCTGTGCCAGCAGGGGCCGATGTCCTGCTGTTCACGTGTTCCTTCCACGAGAGGACCTCAGTGCCGCCCAGCCTGGCCCATCCACACAGCGTGGCCATGGGGTTCCTCTTGCTCCTGCCCTGAGAAGGCAGGGTAGGGACTGGCACCCTCTATCCTGGAAGAATGAGTCTGGCTCTGGTGTCCAGAGCCACTTGGCCAACAGAGTCAGCTGCCAGCCAGGACCTGGGGGCGGCCCACCCCCCACAACCCCCCACCGCCCCCCATCTCCCTCCCACTCCCGGGCCGAGCTGTGGCCTCACTTGGGGCCCCACGGCTGTGAATGAGCGTCCTTCCTCTCAGGCCTGGGGGCCGTAATGCTTCTGAGGTCTGCATGTCCTGCTGCCCAGGGCGCTGGCCACCCTCCTGTGCAGTGCCACCCCCAGAAGAAGGGCCCAGGCAGGTGAGCTTGGCTGTTTTCCGGGCCATGCCAGCATGCTTGCCCACAGCCCTTCCCAGGGCCTGGGCTCTGCACGGGGCCCTGCATGGCCTGGACAGTTCTCACTGCGCCTCCACGGCGCCCTCTCCCAGGACCCTGCCCTTCCCGTATCCTCCCACCGAGCCCGTTGGCCGCCGCACAGAGGCTGCAGGCATTCCGGCTCTGGTTGGCCGGCTCGTGGTGGGGTGCGCAGAATGGTTTGTCCACTTCACATGTCACCCAGGTGATCACTCAGTCCCGGCAGTGGACTGATGGAGAGGGACTGTCTCCCAGGCAGGAGGTGGGGGGCACGTGAGGCCAGAGGAGCTGCGATGCAGGCCTCTGCCATGTGAGTGCCCCTGCTGCCTGGGCCCTGGTGAGGCCCGTGGTGACAGTGTCAGGGACAGGCCCCGCCCTCCCCTCAGCTTCGGTGCCTTTCCAGGGTCCAGCAGCAGCAGGACCCTGTGCCGGGAGAGCTGCAGCCCCTAGCCGGCTGTGGTGGCCCTGCTGCCCCGTCCGGGCTGCGCACCCCTGGGACTGGGCCCCTGCTCCAGCACCAAGATGCGCAAGCCCAACTTCAGCCCCCAGGAGACGGAGGTGCTGGTGCAGAGGGTGATGCGCCACTACCCGCTACTGTTCGGGGTGCTGTGGGGCACACCCGCCCAGAAGCACCGCGTGTGGAACAAGATCCTGCAGGCAGTGAACGCGTTGGGCTACTGCCGGCGGGACCTGGGTGACTTCAAGCACAAGTGGAGGGACCTGCGCGGGGTGGTGTGCAAGAAGCTGGCGGGGCGCCCCGTGGCACTCAGCCTCGTCCTCACGCTCATTGAGCGCATGGTGGCAGAGACCTTCCCAGCCCGGGTGCCCCCGGCGGGGGCCAGGCCTGCGAGCCCCTGCCGAGTAAGTGGACCCTTCCCATGGCCTGCGCCCCTCCCCACGGTCCATGCCCCCCAGACCTGCCCCCGTGCCTGGTGCCTCCAGCATGTGCCACTGAGAGCAAGACCCTGAGAGAGACAGCTGGAGGCCTGAGGAGACGGCCACTGCCCCTTGGCCCTGCTGTTTGTAGGTGGAGAAACTGAGGCTCGGGGCCCGGGCGGGGCTTGCTGTCTTGGGAGTGAAGTTGCTGGGGCTCCACGTCAGGTTCCTGCTGGCCCCAAGCTCAGGGTGCACCTGGACCTGCCCCGCCGTGACGCGGTGCGGCCAAGGGGCCCCCAGAGGCCTCACGGACCCTCGTTCACCATAGGAGCCAGGATCGAGGGGACTGCCTGGGTGCCTGTGCGCCTCATGTGGCTGGGTGGCTGGGCGGCTGGGCCAGCTTAGCTCCTCTCCCCGCCCCTGTCCTCTGACACCCCCTCCCAGTGCCTTCCTGTGCCTCACTGTGGGACCCTTCCTCCATGCAGTCACCCAGCCCCCAGACCAGGCCAGGGCAGTGTCCGGTGGCCCTCTGCCCCCAGGGCCCACTGACACCCCTTGGCGCTAGGGCCCACCTTTGCCAGAAGTTTCTGTGCCTGATGAGGAAGACATGGAGCTGGGCTGGGCTTTCCCTGCATCACACGCCGCCTCTGGTCCCGAGGGTGGTGCTGGCTCAGCTCCTGCTGCCGCCTCCTCCTGCCTGTCCTCAGGACGCCTCTGAGTGCCCCGGTGGGAGCGCCCTTCGCCTGTTGTCCATCTGCACGTGGCAGCTCCACCACACTGAGCCCCACTGGAGTTTTCCTGGTTTGCTGCTGGAAGAACTTTGGGGACAAAGCCATGAGCAGGACCAGCTCACCTGTGAGGGCCACAGAGTGGACGGAAGGACAGCTGTGTGGGGAGAAGCAGGGGCTGCACAGCCCCAAGGGCCACCATCGTAGCAGAGCTTCTAGGGGCTGGGTCTGCACAGAGTGGGCCTGGCTGGGCCGGGAGACTGTGGACCCTGGGCCTGTGGTTCAGCCTTCGTCACAGGCCTGGGCGAGGGGTGGGTGGAGCCTCCTGTTAGCCCGGGGAGGCTACCCCACTCTATAGGCAGAGCCCGTCTTGGTTGTGGGGTGCTGCAGGCCAGGGTGTGCTCACTGTGGGGCTGAGAAGGGGCTGGGGTGGCCCTGGGTGCCTGGATCCATCCGACAAGTCCCCAGCCTGGGGCTCGTCTGTGTGTCCTGGCGGTCTCCTGTGCTGGACTCGGCAGATGCCCTCCTAGTAAGGCCCAGCCCAGCCCAGGGATTCCTGGTGGCCAGGAGCCCCTCCTGCTGGCCCCACAGCCCTCAGGCTCGCCTGCAGGAGGGCCACCAACTGGTCCCCTAGGGCCTCGAGCTCCTCCTTGGAGAGGCCTGCTCACTGAACTTGGGTTGAGCAAGAGCTTGGGGCAGGAAAGCGGCTGCCGAGCCTGGTTTGTGGGGGCAGAGACCCCTGCTGAAGGCCCAGGTCCCTCCAGCTCCTCCATCTGGGTCAGCCCAGGCCCAGAGCTGGGGCAGGGCAGGCTGGCAGGGGCCTGTCATGCCAGGGGGCTGAGGGCAGCCAGTTGACAGTGCAGCGCAGGAGGCCTCCAGGAAGTTGGTGCCCTGAGGCTGCTGAACGGACAGTGCTGCCTCCTTCCCTGCAGCACTCTGCCCATGTTTGGGGGAGCAGTGCTAATGGGGGTGCTCTTTGGCCATGGAGGCCTGGCTCAGAGTCTGGGTGTCCAGTAGGCCCCTGGAGCAGAGGCCCCCTAGAGCAGCTCCTGCAGAGCTCCCCCTGCCCTGGGGCTGGCGGGGACAGGGGGCCTGTGCCCTGCAGAGCTGCTCCTGGCTAACCAGGATCTTCAAGGCCCAGTGAAGACCATGGCCCAGGGCCGATGAGGTCCCCGAGGGCTGCAGGCCCAGGCACCTGCTTCTCTGATCCGGGGTACTGTGCTGGCCGAGTGCACTCACAGCACAGGCACTGGGCCGAGAAGGGCCTCTGCTGCCACGATCCCGCATCTCCAGGCAGTGCCGTCAGTCAGACTCTAGTCCCACCTGGGCCCGGTGAAGGCAAGGGTCGTCGGGGTCCGAGGGCAAGGTCCCAGCACAGCGCTGGCTGTGCGTGGGTGTCAGGCCGGTCAGGACGCTGCTCCTCCCCGAGCTCAGTGGTGGCCGGTGGTGGCTCTGCTTCCACCTCTCTCTCTGGAGGGAGCCAGGCGGCCCTGCTGCGACAGGAGCCTGGGGACACAAGGTGGCCTCTTGGCATGGGAGCAGGAGGATGGCAGGGCTGGGGCCTGGGTGGGCCCCTTGGCCTGGCAGGGTTGGTCCTACCTCAGTGGCAGCTCTGGGCTGGAAATCAAATTTCTGGTCCTGTCTTTCTTTCCTGCCCCTCTCCTGGGCTGGTGAGAGGGCAGTGACCCTCAGTTTGACATGAGTCTCTCCTACAGGGGCAGTGCTGCACAGGGGTAGAAGCCAGGGTGCCCCAGCAGGTGAGGGGCTGAGGCCCACCACCCACACCTTGCATATGGGGCTCCTCTCATTGGGGCCGGCCTCCGGCTGGGGCAGAGCACATGCCCTGGGCCGAGGGACACTGGCCACGCAGCACCTTCCTTTCCTGGGACCTCCTCTGCCGCGGACCTTGGGCCTCCAGTGGCCCACCCAGCAGGGGTGCTGCCTGGGTAAGCATGCTTCAGGGCAGGTGTGCGATTTGAATTTGGCTCTTTCTGCCTCCAAAGCTTTCACCAAAGTCAGAGGCACAAATTTGGAGGCACATCTCTTCCTTGAAGAAGTACCTTAGTCAGTGCATGTTTGCGTCAGGCAGTGGTAAGGCAGCTGGTGTCTGCGGAGGGCAGTGCCCATCACCCTGGACTTCCTTCCCATTGGCAGGAGAGGAAGCAGCATAGACAGCCACCCAGGGCCCTCACCTGGATTCAAACCCGGTTCCCACTATGGCCCAGTGTGACAGTCTTAACTCACCACTGCCCAGCACACCTGAACCTGGCCGTGTTTGTAGTGTCCAGGATGGATTTGACACACATTTTACATGGTGCCTTTTTACCACCAGCATCACTGAATAGCTGCTGGTGTGACCTCTCGGGGGCTTGTTCACAGCCCACCAGGCCCCTGCCCGAAGTGCCTGGTCTCCACTCAGCCCCACACCATAGTCAGAACCAGCCAGTCAGTGCCAGAGGGCATCGGCAGCACGTGCTGAGGCCCAGTGCCCTGAGCTTGCAGAGAGGCGACCAGATTCCTGACCATGGCAGTCCCCACAGCAGCTCTCCGGACGGCTTGGGCCGCCTGTGCCCTCACCAGGCTGGCAGCCCAGCACCCCATCCCTGTAGCCTCGGCTTCTCTGGTGGCTGGCTCCTCACCTTGGCCTCTGAGGAAGCCAGCATGGGCCTTAGTGACTGCTGGGGGCAGGCGCCAGCTGCCCCCGGGGCTCACCCTTTGGGGTCTCCACTCCGTAATTGCTTCTGTTGTCTTGAATTGCAGACAGTACTGAAGCCAGCCTTGGGGCTGCGTCCTCGCACAGAGGCAGCCAGCGAGCTCCTGGCTGGAGCCAGCCGGCATCAAGTAAGTCAGTGTGAAGGGCAGCCCGGCTGGCCCCGAGGCCCCTCCATCCTTGCCCCATGCCTGGGAGGGGCGCACCCACCGGGCCCTCTCTGAGCCAAGACAGGCTGGTGCTGGGGAGGGAGAGGCGGGGGCTACGCGGGCTGTGCCCAGGGTGGGCCCCACCGCCTCCTCTCTTGACTGTACTCTGCCGAGGGGTGGGGGCTGCCCAGTGACTCAGCCGAAACTGGAGAGCAGGACATGGAGAGTGTGAGCTGGCCTGCCTGGAGGGCATGGCCAGGGTTCCCAGGGGCGTGGCATGTCTGCTGGGCACCCTCCAGGGAGCCCTGTGGCTCCTCCCCTTGTCTCAGAAGGTTCCTGGAGGACGTTGGCTGCAGAGAGGGCTCACCTGACCCTCCCCCTTTTCCACCTGCCAGGGGGGCCTAGGTGGCTCCATGTCTGGTCCCGGGCTTCAGGCTGGGGGGGCCTTCCCTGCTGGGAGCAAGCAGGACTCGGCCTGGGGCAAGGCTGCTGGCTCAGAGGGAGTGACAAACACACAAACATCAGGCTTGTTTTCTCATGGCTCAGAGCAAACGTAGGGATGGACTGGTGGGGCCGCAATGTGAGCACCTGAGTGGGGCAGACAGGCTCCGGCCTTACCCCAGCCTGGAGGGCCCAGCGGCCATTGTCCACGCCTGCGGCTGCTCACTCACCCTCCTCACGTGGCCCTGACACGCAGAGGTGGACTCCAAAGAGCCCAGAGGAGCGGGCGTCCCAGGGGCGGCAGGGGGGGTGCACAGTCCTGGAGGTGAAGGCCCTGGAGCTGTGGGGCGGGGAGGGCTTCCTGGGGGGGCGTATGCTTCGTCTTGAAGGCCTGTCCTGTCCTGGCAGAGGGGATCGCACGCACAGAGGCCAAAGGAGCCGCCCAGGAGAGCTCAGGGTTCCCAGGCCGGAGGCAGGCAGCCGTGTGAGGGCCTGAGCACAGGAGCAGGGCAGGAGCACTGGGAGAGGGGGGCTGATGCTGCCTCATTCTTTGGGGCTCTGGGAAGTCAGCACTGTGCTTGAAGGGGACTCTAGCAGCCTCAGGGGCAGATGGAAGTGGGCAGTGATCTGGACTGCAGCAGGCGTGGGCCAGGAGAGCAGTGCGTAGACATGGGAAGGAGAGAGGCCCTCTGAAAGCCAGGCATGCCCCCGTCCTGTGCCTCCCCTGCCTCGAGGAGCCAAGCTGGGCAGGACGCACTTGGGGTTCAGGGGCCACAGGACCAGGTGTGTGCTCTGCAGGAGGCCCACTGCTGGCCTCCCCTTTCTTCTGTCTTTGGTCATTAGACTCAGAAGTCAGGGTGACCCGGGTGGGTTGCACAGGACACTGTTGAACACCATGCCAGGAGAGGAAACAACTGTGCCATGGTGTTCTGGGCAGGGTGAGGGCCGAGGCAGGCCTGGAGGCCCCCCACGTGTGCCGATGCCAGCTTGGGGCTCTCTGCCACAGCCCATGGCCCCCCGCCACATTCCCGCTGCCACCAGGACCTCTGCACCGGGTTTGGTCCTTCCAGGCCCCCCAGGAAGAAGGTACAGGCTACAAGTGACCCTTGAGGTGGACCCAGCAGAAGCTCAGGGCTCAGGCCCACTCTCTTGGGACCCTTCTGAGTGGCAGCACCTGCCAGAGACCCTCGTCCCCAGAAAGACTCACCTCAAGAGGGAAGTGACAAGGCCGCAGGGTGGCACCTCTATGAGCCACGGGAGTCCTCTGGGCCCGAAGGACGGACAGATACCTGCATCTCCACGGGAAGATACACCAGGAGGAGAAGCCGGAGGAGGCGACACGGGCAGCCGCCTGTGCCCACGGACACCTCATCAGGCTCAGACCCCCTGCCCGGGGCGCTTGTGGGCCCGGCCCATGGGTGATGCTGTTACCTTCCCATTTCCCTCAGAATAGGAACCCCTGTACCCTTGGGTGCTGGGGGCTCAGAGTCACTGCCACCTCTACTTGGCATGGTGGGAAGTGTCTGGCCAGACGGACACAGCCACAGCCCCATGTCCAGGCCCACCAAGTTGTTCCCGGGAAGTTTGTTGACTGACTCTCCGCACCCAGATGAGTGGAAGGGTCACATGTCCCTGTACCCGGGCATGTGCACTTGCAGATCGGGGATTCGAGGCCCAGAGAATAGAAGGGTTTTCCCGAGGTCACACAGCCTCCAAGAGGCAGAGCCAGTCTGGGAGCTCAGTCTGCAGGATCCCGCACCCAGGACTTTCCTGCTGCCCCTGGGGTGCTCTTCTCTCATGTACGGAGTCTCTCATGCACTCCTTGCCCTCTCCATCTGCCTCCCCAGCCTCTGTGCCCCCAGCGGCCACATTCCCAGGGAACTTCTGGCCCTCTCCTGGGACATCTGCTTGATGTGGGGGCAGGTGCACAGATGGATGGAGAGGTGCCTGGCTGCACAGATGGATGGATAGATGGGTGGAAGGAGGGACAGTTGTATACCCAGGCAGGTGGATGGATGGCAGAGGCATGGGCACGTGGATGGAGGACAGATGGCCGATGAAGGAGTGGATGAGCAGGCAGGTGAGCCAGTGAGTGGGTGACTGTGTGCAGACAGGTGGACTGACGTAGGTGGACAGATGATGGCCAGCGGGTGGACAGAAGAGTGGAGACATGGATGGCTGGTGCCGGTAGGTGCATGGGTAGCTGTGTGGATGGGGGCAGAGGGCAGCGTGGTGGCTGGGCCCTAGGCTTGGGGGCCTCCCGGGGAGGTTGCAGTCTCAGCTGTACTGGAGTTAAGTCTTTTGCCCTGAGTCTCAGCCCGCTTGTAAGGGTGCTGCAGACAGGCATCGTGTGCACAGGGCCCCAGACGAGTACTCCTGGTGCCTCCCTGCCCTTCCCAGTGCTGCCCTGGTCTTGGCCTGGGAAGACTCATGCTTCCTGTCTTCCTCTGCTAGTGGATGAGGAGGACGAGGCCCCCAGCTCCATGTGGCTCCCTCTGCGGACCCTGGATGGGCCAAGCCTGCCTGAACCCGACCCCCTGGACCTGGAAGGAGCCCTCTCCACCTGCTTCCCCGGCTTCTGTGTCCCCAGTGGCCACATTCCCAGGGACCTTCCAGCCCTCTCCACCCTCCTCCACAGCACCCCTGCCCTCTGGGAGACCCGCTGAGGCCTCTGAGTTTGAGCTGCGGCTGCTGGACTCCCACCGACAGCAGGGTGCGCTGCTTGCCTCCTGGTCCTGGCAGCAGAACGTGTTGATGGCCCAGCAGAACCTGCTCCAGCAGCGGCTGGCTGAGCAGATCCAGCGGCTGGCTGATGGTGTTGAGGCCCTCAACCAGACCCTCGATGGGAGGAGGCTCGCCCCTGGTCCTAGACAGCACCCCTGCTGGCGGAGTGGCCCAGGGACCCGTCAAATGCAGCCCCCAGGACACCCACATGGGCCTGGAGGTCTTCTCAGGGATGATCCTGAAGGTGGAGGAGGAGGCCTAGGGTCTGGTCCCTGGGGACCATGGACAGAGCAGAGACATTAGTCGTCCTCCTTTTAAGAGGGGCTGAGGGAGCGGTGGGTGAAGATGGGGCCTCGACGGAGCCAGAGGGGGCGTGGATGTCTGCCTGTGGTCACCCCTTCCATGGCTGGCTCTGCGGGGCTCAGCGACACGCTGGGAAAGGCCTCCCAGAGTCAGCCTCCCAGGGGCCAGGGCAGAGGCCACTCCACGAGCCGCAGCCGGAGGAGGCGGAGGGGCGCCGGCCGAGAGCCCGGCCTCTGGTCCTCACCCGGCTCTGACCAGCTGGATTGAGGGCCAGGGAGGACACGGCGCCTCCGGCCGCTGACGGTGAATGAGCAGGCAGCCGCCCCTGCTCTCAGCTGGGCCGCCCTCTGTGCTCCGCGCTCAGGCCCTGCACGGAGGCCGGGGCCTTTCCCGGCTCTCAGCAATTCCTCTGGCCGTTCCTCCTCTGGCCCTTGTGCAGCCCCTTGGTATGGCGCCAACTTCAAGCACTGCCGGGCAGGGGTCAGGCCACAGCCACGTAGCATGAGAGCCAGTGAGGCTGAGGGGAGAGCATGTGGCCCTGTCCACCAGCCTCGTGGGCCTGGCCTCATGCCCTCCTCTTCCCCTTTGCCTCCTCCTGACCCTGTCCTGACTCCGCTGTGGTGCTGGTGGTCTAGGATGCCTGCTTTCCTGCTCTGAGCAGCAGGACTGGCAGGGCTGATAAAAAGCCTTATCCAGAAGCAGGAGGCGGAAGTACCAGCGTGGGCTGGACAGGGTGCTGGTCCCAGGATGCCCAGGGAAGCCCCAGGGCCAAGAATAGCCAAGCCCAGGGGTCACGGGCACAGTGGGAGGGATCTTCCTGCTTTTCTGTTCCTACCACCGGCCAGCAGCATGCCTGTGACCGTCCGTAAGAGAGTCTCCACCGCAGGACTCTGCAGCCGCCCACCCAGCTGCCGACTGCCGCACCGCCCACTTGTCTGCTACCACCTCTCCTTCTGTGGGTCCACCTGGCACCACTGACTCCCCATGGCAGCCTGTCACTCACATGGCTCCTCCTGAGCAGCTTTCCTTCCTCCCTGCGAAGCCCCCTCTCCATCTCAGTGCCACCTCCGAGAAGCCCTCGAAAATCCTCATTCCAGGGGAAGGGATGACCCTCCCATCCACAAACAGATGCACACGGTAGTGGATGTCTGCTCCCACATCAGCACCGGGCGCTGCTCCTTGGCCCCTGTTCCAGTGTCTGCCAGCCGGGCCCTGGTCGCACTGACCCTGACCTGACCGCGGTCCGCCCCGTATCCCTACCTGGCCAAGCCCTAAGTGGTGAGACAGCGAAAACACCCCGGCGGGGAGGGCCGTCCTCCCAGGGCCGCCATCTGCTGTAGACACAACACTAAACATGTGAACGGTTGTTTGGTGACTGTTACTCTGAGCTGAAACTGGGTTCGGCTGCATCTGACAGAGGCCCAGAATGATGTGTGTGGATGCCGCAGGCATGGCTCTTACAGAAGAGAAGGTCAGTGAGGCAGAGCTGGCAGGTGTCCCCACGGGCCTCGAAGACCCCAGCGATGGGCAGTCTCCACTCCGCTGTGGCGCTGGTGGTCCAGGACGCCTGCTGTCCTGCTCTGAGCAGCAGGACTGGCAGGGCTAAGAAGGGTGCACCATCCCGCAAGGACACCTCTGCTTGCGTCACATCCCTTTGGCTGGAAGTGGGCCAGGTGCCCAGGCTGTGTTGCTGAGAAGCCAGGAATGTCTGTGGTGTTGCCTAACATGGAGGTTCTGTTGCTGTGGGGGGTAGGGGGTAGGGTTGCCAAGCAGGCAGCCAGCACCCAACTGTGGGGCTGATGGGAGACCTGCCATCCTGAGGGCAGGGAGGCCTCTGAGGAAGGTATCCAGGCAGAGGCCTTAAAGATGACTTGGCAGCCATCAGCGAGGCCAGGAGAGTGAGGGGGATGGTGTGGAGGGGGGCCAGCAGTGTCCAGGCGGACAATCAGCAATGAGGATGGGGAAAAGCCACCCACCCCTGCTTTGGGCACAGAGAAAGAGCATCTCCAGAGGGGAGCCAGCAAAGGCTGCAGCGCTGGGGTCAGGCAGCGTCCTGTGCCTCCGAAGGGCCCCGGGGTAGGGAAGGAAGGGTCCTGATTTGGAGCTCTGAGAAGGTGTCAGTGGCCACTCCAGGACACGGTCGTGCGGCATCCTGTGACTTGCATGCAAGGCCTTTGTGGCATGTTCCAGAAGCAACAGGCAGGAGAGCGGCTGGGGTGGTTCTGTTAGAGCTCGGCAGGCTGCAGGTCCCCCCAGCCCTGGGCAGGTGGTCAATGTGAGCCTGGAGCGGGGATGATGTTCAGGGTCAGGGGGCGCCAGGGGCAGGCCTCCAGCTGGTTTCGGTCCTCCAAGTTCATGCCCTTCACCCACACCGAGCTGCCTCCCCAGGAGGTGAGCCTCGTCCATCCAACCCAGGATGAGCGAGACCAGGTCCCCTCGCTGGGGGTACTTCAGTGGGGGAGGGGGGCAGCTCAGACCTCCTGGCCTGTGTGGGTTACATGCCCAGGCTGATCTCCTGCTGCAGAGCAGGAAATAACCTGCGACGTCAAATGCTTTGCCGGCTCACAGAAAGCAAATAAATAGCCAATAGCCAGTCTCCACCTACCCCCACCCTCCAACCCCGGCCCACCGCCCCAATCGAAAGGGCCTATATGGGAAGCAAGTGGAAAGCTGACCTGAGTGAGATCCAGACCTGGCTGAAGCCCTTTCTGGGGGAATGGGCCTCGGCAGACCCCTGGTGCTCGGAGTGCGTGAGCCAGCGAGATGGCTCCATCTGTAAGGGGGCAGGTCGCTGGGGGAACAGCAGAAAACAGAACAACAGCGTAAGGCCCTGTTATGGGCTGAGTGGTGTCCCCCAAATTCATATGTTGAGTCCTAACCCCCAGCACCTCACAAGGTGGCTGTGTGTGGAGATGGGGTCTTTACAGAGGTGATTAAGGGGAATGAGGTCACGTGGGTGGCCCTGGTCCAGTCTGACTGGTGCCCTCATAACATGAGGCGATCAGGACGCAGACCCGCACAGAGGGACAACCAGGTCAGGACACGGGGAGAAGGTGGCATCTGCCTGCCAAGGAGAGGGGCCTCAGGAGGGCCCAGCCCTGCGACACCTGGGTCGTGGCCATCCAGCCTCCAGACTGGGAGACAATAAAATCTGTTGATTGTATCCTCAGCCTGGGGGATTTGGGTACGTCATGCAGTCTGCGCGGACCACCTCACACAGCTCAAACGACTTCAGCTGTGGAAATTAGCTGGGTCACAATGTCGGACAGTTTCTAAGAAATATTTTTAAAAGATGAGATCACAAACATGAGCAATAATAGATTATCAGAAGTCACCGAGTGTGTCTGGAAAGGATCAGTTACAGCCTTTAAGAGCTCAGTGCGTAGGTCAGGCAGTGCATTTGGTCCCAGATGAGTGAGAAGTGGCAAGCTGGAGGCCTGTCTGGAGGAATGTGCATGGCGAGAGGGAGAAGGGGGCTGCAGTGGAGGGACTGAGACAGAGATGGGTGAGAGACCCCACACCATGGGACTGGAGGCCGAGGAGGAATGGAGCTACTGCAGGAGAGGCGGCGAGGCCGCACCGGCCAGCCCTGGGGCTGCACGAATGCAGGAAGCACTTGATGCCCAGTGGTGGAAATAGAAGGATGAGGCCACGGTGAAGAGACGGCAGATGCTGCACCGAAGGGACAGAAGGGGTGCGCGTCTCCCAGCCAGAAAGGGAAGGAGGGATGACGATCTGCTCATGGCAGCTCACGGTGGGCAGCCGGGCAGCAACGAGGTACGTCTGCAAAGCAGTGGGAAGACCAGTCAGTCGCCCTAGGGTGGTGCACCCACAGAACTGCCTGTCAAGGACAAAGACAAAATGCGGACATTTCCAGACAAGTGAAAACCGTGAGGGTTTCCCACCCTCAAAGAGACTTTTGCTAAAGCAGTTGCTGAAGGGTGGGCGGCAGTTTGGAAACCCGGCTGGGAGGCTGGGAGTGAGGACGCTGGGCAGCGTGTAGGCAGACCTGACCATTGACTGGGCAAGTAATAAAGCTAGTCTGTGATGAAGTAACCATTCTGACACGATGCCTGCTCTGTGGGGTTAAATGTTTAGAAAGGACAGAACAGCAGCCGGACAGTGATTACGTTTGTTAGGGGCCTGAGCTCGTGTTTCTTACAGGGAGGTTAAATGCTGGTTGATTTTAGCTCGTTAGTAACTGTATATGGGGGAAACTCAAGGGTTCCTTCATTAAAATTACAAACTTGCACTCCATAAAACACCCTGTGAAGAGGGTGAAAAGACAAGCTACTCCCTGGGAGAAAGTACTCGCAGCTCACACATCTGATAGGCTTGTGTCATGAGCATTGGGGACTCTGGGTTCTGCAGAAAGGAAACACGATTCAGCAGGAGAGCAGGCCCAAGGGCCGAGCAGACCTCACCAAAGGGGACATGGGGTAGTGGGCAGGCATCCGAGATGCTCACCACCACCAGCCACTAGAAAACTGAGCCACAGCAAGGTGCCACTCAGAAAGGCTCAGACAAGCGATGGGGGCCCCAGAGGAGCTGGGCCATTCCTGCACTGCCAGTGGGGATATGAGGTGACAGAAGACTGGTGGTTTCTCAAAAATTTAAATATACACTTACAATACTGCCCAGCAATTGCACTCCTGGGCATTTATCCTAGAAAAATAAAAGTCATGTTCATGCAAAAACCTGCACACAGGTGTTCCTAGCATCTTTATTGTAACAGTTCTAATTGGAAATAAACCAGGTGTCCATCCACGATAAAAGGTTAACCTGGGGTGTATCCACACCTGGAATGCTACTCAGCAACAGAGGGGATGAGCACCTTGGAGCTCCCATAGAGCATGCCTGCATGTAAAAGAACGTCCCCAAGGGCCCTTGCTGTGCGATTCCCTGCGTATAACATTCTCAAAGTGACAGAGTTACATTTTGGAGACAGAAAACAGACCGGTGGAGGCAGGGGTCCAGGTGGCAGGGTGGGGGGTGGGAGGCCCTGGCAGGTTGGAGCAGTTCTGTGTCCGCTCACAGCAGGGCTGACAGAAACCCATGCCTGTGATAAATTCTTACAGAACTATGTGCATACATGCAAGAAACTAGTAAAAACACAGAATAAAAATTAAAGCAAGGGTAACCACTTTAAGAGTAGTGTTAGCATGTGTAGCTTCCAAACCAGTAAAAATAGGATAAGAACACAATTAAGCAAACAAAAATCCTTACTGACTGACAAAGGAAAAGAAGAAATAAAAGCAATATAGAAGGAAAAACAGGATAGAAAACAAGGCAAGCTTTTGGAATCACGTCCAGTAAACAGTGCGGGTGCATTAAAAGACCACTCAGTGTCAAGGCTCATCATATTGGAGGAAAAAATACCTCTTTGCTGTTTATGAGACTAAGACAGCAGGATGTGGCAAAGGCGGAAGGAAGGATACACAGGAAGTGTGCCAGGCGGACGCTAAGCACAAGAAAGCGTGGCAATATCAGTTTCAGAGTGGGCACCAGGACACTTTCATAAATATTAATAATATAAATAAATACACTAAATGTATGATAAAGAGAATTACTTTATAACAAGCTCAGTTCATCAAAGATGCAAAGCCCTGAACTTGTATATACTAATAGCTCAAAATAAATAAATAAATAAAAGTTTCTCTCCTACAGACAGAATTCATCATGATAGTAGGTTTTAATATGGGGCACATAGACCAGTAAAGACAGAGACCATTTCAACATTGATTAGCACTTGACTTTCTGGACATGTAGAAAACCCTGTACAAAGCAGAGGACACTCACTCTTCCAAGTACTACCTGTGATGTTTACAAATTTTGACCACAGATTAGGTCATAAAACAATTATCAAACTTCAAAGAGTCAGTAATGCATAAAACACAAGCAATTAGAAAAATGCAATCCATAAATATTGGCAGCAAAAAAATTAGAAGTTCCTTATATGTTTGGAAATTTAGACAGTTGTAAATAACTCAGAGGTCAAAGGAGAAATCATGAATGGTACGTAAAAAAGACAATTGAAAAATACGGCATATCAAAGCCCTTCAAAAGAAATTAATAGCCTTAAATGTTTATATAACAAAAGAGGAAAGGCTGAAAATTAATGTATTAGGATATTAAGAAGACATTAAATAAAACGGAAGGGCTTCAAAGTGACCCTAGAGAACTTAGAAGAAAGCCAGTCATAGGAATGCGAGCGGGATGTAAGTTTCAGCAGGGGCCCCGAGAAGCCAAAGCTGGGTCTTCGGAGAGGCCACGAAGGCAGATAAGCCGCCAGTAGGCTGCTCCAAGATGAAAAGAGCAGAAATCGCCAAGTAATAAGAGAATCCAACGAACAGCTCTATGCCTACTGATTTGGGAACTCAGAAGATGCCGATGCCAGACAGGTTTCCTGGGAAGGTGCACTCCCAGGCACGGGCCTCGGTGAGGGGACCCTGTGGGGAGCTCTGCGTCACCGAGGGCCTGGCAGGGGAGGAGGGCCTCCCTGGTGCTGCCCCAGCCTCACAGGAACATCCCCAGAGGGCAGATTGCTGGCCGCATGCACAGGTCAGAGTGGAGTCAGCTGTGGCTGTTGGGGGAGTGCTGGGGGTCGGCTGCATTGTGAGCGTGGCCCGGTGATGCTAAACACTGCATGAGCAGGCCTCGCTCCCTGTGACCAGTCTCCTGGGCCGGACTCTGCCGTCGGGGGAATAGGCTGTGCCATGCGGCCGGCCAGAGCACCAGAGCTGTGAGGGCTGCCCGAGCCACGGGTGCGCAGCTGCAGGCTCCTCTCTGCCCGGCCGCCTGCCCCTTCCCGCAGCTGCCCACACCCCCTCTGGATGCCCGCTCCCTGTAATGACACGTCCTCTCGGCACAGTCTGTCTCCTGAGCAGCCAGCCATGAGCCCCACAGGCAGGGCTCCGCCTGCCACAGTGACAGTCCCTGACCATGGAGCACGCCACACCTTCTGCCTGGAACCGGGGGCGGGGGCACCACCTGGGGTCACATGTATGTGGCCTGAGGAGCTTGGACTTGTGACCTGACCCAAGTCCAGCAAAGGGCAGGACCAACTAAGGACCCAGCTGGCCGCCCTGGCCTGGCCACGGAGCCCGCGCCTTCAGGGAGGGCGATGGCCTGGCGGGCCCAGCCCAGCCAGCCCCAGCATGCTTGTCCGCCTCTTCATTCCCTCCCTCCCTCCGTCTCCTTCCTTCACACTGTCCTGAGCTGCCTGTGCCCGCTTGGGGCTGGATGTCTGGGGATGACTCCACCTTTCCTGTTTCCTTCTCTGGAAAAGGAGGGGTTCGGATGTGGTCAGAATCTCAGACCCTGTGCTGGGAGCCCGCAGCCTCAGGCTCTGGGTTCAGGCTGCTGAGGCCTGGGAACGGAGTCATCCACCAGCCCCGGAGAAGTGCCGGGGACGCCTCGAGAAAGGGCCTGTGCCCGGAGCCCGGAGGGACTGCAGAGGTGAGTGGGGAAGCCTGAGGGTGCCTGCCAGGGTGGCCCCCTGGGGGTGTGTGTGTGGGGCCTGGACCACGTTCCAAATGCCTGAAGGACAGGTTTCCTCTGGCACCAATGGAAGCTCCCCCACCAGGTGCCCCAGGAGAAGGCTTTACCCAACTCCATGGCAATGGCGGTTCACTAGAGCCTGGAGGGGCTGCTCCCCAGGCCGTTTGGGTGGGCCCTCTGCTGCCCAGGCTGGGCTCCACATGGGCACTGGCCCTGGGGGAGGTGAGTGTGCTTTGGGGGCAGAGAGGGGAGGCTGCCTTTTAATTTGGAGGCTGAGCAGGTTAAATAAGCAGCAATTGGATTTTGCTGAGGCCCAAGCTAGGTGATATCCCTGGGCGCAGAGAACACAGGAGAATCTCATTTTCGTGATCAGATTTTTATAGATTATCTCTCCCATCTGCTGAGAGGTATAAATGAGTGTTGTTCCAGGCGCAGTGCGGGCAGCTGGTGGGGCACGGGGGTAGGGAGGGGAGGGCGACCCCATGTGCACTAGGGCCTCAGACCCCAGGCCCCAGAGCCCTGTCCTTTCTCCACCAGTCCTGCTCGGAGTGAACCCCAAGCAGAAAAATAACCTTAGGCGAGCTTTAAATCAGTTTGCTCAGTGTTTATTAAAGACCAGGCTCTTGGAGCCTGGGGGTACCTGCTGGCCTTCTCCCTGTCCCTGAGGCAGGTGCTGCCTGACTGGGGGTGGGGGAGGGGGGCTTAGCGACACTGTGACATGGAGGTCACAGGTCACAGCACTCCCAGTGAGGGGTAGGGGACCCTTGTCCCCTGCCAGCATAAAGCAGTCGAGGCTTGCTCCCTGTTCTGCCAGGGGGCCCCAACCACGGACCCCTGCCTACAGCTTGGCCCCCACCTGCTCCTCTGTGTGCCTGGCTGCTTGGGGCAGCTTCCCCTCAGGTGGGTCTAGGTTTGGGGCCAGCACTGCTGTGGCCCAGCTTCACTGACTCTGGGGGGTGGCCCGCCCACACTGTTTCTCTGAGCCTGCCCCGCTGTGCCCTGGACATGGGGGATGTGGGGTGACACCCCTGCAGGCAGGCTGGCAGTGGAGCAGACTCGAGGCGGGGCATGCGAGCCTGCAGGCTTGTGGGGACATGTGTGCAGGTCTGGGCTGTGCTTGGGGCTGCCCTGGGCTGAGGCGGTGGGCTCTGGGCTGGAGAGAGTGACAAAGCCATGAGCTCCTGCTGCTGACTGCCACCGAGGCTGAGCGAGGAGAGGCGTGGGTAACTGCGGGCCCCTCAGCCCCTCGCAGGCGGAGGCCCATTGCCCTTTCCTTATCCCTGACGAAGCCTGCTGAGAGGGAGAGCGGGGCTGGCCCGTGGGAGTGGGCATGGGCCCGTTCTGCCCTGTGTTCTTCCTGCCACACTGTTGGAGCAAATGGCCACTCACCCTGGGTGCTGGGAGGCTCACCCAGTGCTGGCAGCCAGGCTGTTGGAGAGGCTTGTCCGATGCACAGTAAACATGCCGTGGACACCAGCTCACAGACTGGGGAGACAGGCCCGAGCCTGCACGCGAGGTAGCTGTGAGCTGTGTGTGCATTTGTGTGCATGTGTGTGTGTCATGCACATGTGTGTCATGCACATGTGTGCATGCACACGTGGACCTGAGTGCTGCCCACCTCCAGGGTGGTGTTGGGATGCAGGGATGGGTGTGCTCCACTTTGTAGATGTGGGGCCAGCCAGGTGGGCAGAGGGTTCTCTGGGCGGTGGCTGTGTCTTCAGGAAGCTGATGAGGGCTGAAAGGGGTGTAGGAGCTGGGTGGGGTGGAGGAATAGCCGCCCACCTGGGTCAGGCCTCCACCCCTGAGCTGTCCACCCCACCATGAGAGGAGGAAGGGGTGTCTGGCTGCATCTCACTGTCACCCAGGTCACTTCTCAGACCCCTGTCAAAGGTGGACCTTCAGAGAGGCCCAGGGTCTGTCACGGGTGCCCTGGATGCTAACCTTGGGGACCAGCTTTGGAGGGTGGCCCAAGCAGTGGGTGGTCCTGCTGGAAGATGGTGGCCTGCAGGGCTGAGGAGACCACAGAGGCCCTTGGGACCGGCGGCAGCAGTCAGCCTGCTCTTGGGGCAGCACCTGGCATCCTGCCCAGGCCAGGTGTGCAGATTCACCAGGCTAGCTACCAGCTCCAGGGTGCTGTGGGCTCATAAGGAACTCCTGCCACGTGAGGGGGCCCTCCTCGGCATCTCCCTGCAGGAA